AAGATAACTGTTGCCTTATGCAAGATTGATATTTGACATTTCCATTTTTTTTTAATTTCTCAAATATCAAATTTGATAATACATGGTAATTATAGATAAGAACACAGCCTGAAAACATGCTTCTAGGTATTGTAGAAACCACACCCCTATTTATCATACTTCCTCGGGGTCAGGGTAATACCGGTGAGGGAAATTATTTATTCATATCTAAATATTGTCCAATCAAAATTTGTCCTAAAATCTTTCAAGGAAATTCAAGATACGCTGGCTCAAGGACTGGATACACATAGGAAGTGAGAGTCTCTCGGATTAATAACTTTTTTTTAACGGTGTACAGGATATAGAAAAATATAATATTGTTTGAACTGTTGCCTTGTGCAGACTGATAACTTACATTTCTGTATTAAATAAATTTCTCAAATATTAAATTCTTTAATTAATGTTGTTCAAAGATAAGAACAAGACTTTCTCTTGAAGTTACAAGGAATCATTGATGCCATTCATAGTCTGACTGGAATCTTATTCCTAATTAACTGAATTTACAATTCTAATGTTTTATAGACAAGGTGGGTCAGAAAAGATACAAGACCTTGTTTCTCAAAAAAATTTACCATAAATTTCATCGTTACAAAGATATTTGTAAATGTAAAATACCCCAATTAAGACAAATTTTAATTATAAGATTTTTTGAGAAACTGATGTGACAGAAAGCCAGAAACCGCCTTCCAAAAGTGGTTGCGAGCGTGGCAGAGCAGTTTTAAGCTATTTATAGCAAACAATAACGCACACTCTCCAACAAATCAGAATCACTTTTACAAGCGAGTATCGACAGTCAGACAGGGGGCATGGGGGTCTTTTAGGGTTAGGGTTAAGGGCGTTGGGGGGAGAAGGGTGGGGGAGAAAGGGGGGCATTTTGAAGTGAAAATTATGTCCTATAAATGATCAAAATTCATCTCAGGCCATCTGAAATCTGTTGCCTTCTAGGGGCTTCTGGCAGTTGTCTGTCCTCCAACCTCCAGGGGCTTCAACCTTCCCCTTTCAGAGACCTCCCCCTGCTACGCCCTTGAACCCCAGTTAACTTCCTTGACAAGTAAATGAACAGTCTAATGGGGTAGAAGATAAAAGGTGTAAAAGTGTGTAATTAACTGAATATTTCACATCAACTTCAAGAAATGTTTGAAGAAATTATGTCACTCTACCTTAGTTCTCGAGATTAACTGATTGCATGTTTTTACACTCTAGAGATAAACATCTTCAACTCTCTGCCAGTAACATTCTATAGCTTGAAGACATGTAGTCATTTTATTATTTTTTATCATCTGATAAAGGGATGTTGTAGCCTAATTCCAGGCTGAATGTTTCGGAAACAAATTTTTGAGCCTTTCATGTATGTTGAATAAAAACTAGGTTACAAAACATTTTCCATCATTAACCAATCATGTGAAATAAAATTATATTTGAACCTTGTGGTCACGTGAAACAAAAGCCATGTGACAAAGCAGCATACATCATGTTTCTTTTAAACAATGTCCATCATGTGCCCCTAATGAAATTTTTGAACACATAACATTGTTTTTTGTCTTCAACGGACTAAAACCAGTTGTCTGTCCTTGGCTTTAGCAAACAAACCCTTTTTAATTTCAAAGATTTCTAAAAAGATTTCTTTCATGTCCATTATAAAAACATTATAGATGAGAATATCAATTGATGCAGTCCATTAAAATGTTTGAATTCATGTGTAACTGATATGTTATTTCACCAGTGTGACAGCTAATCTTATCAACTAGCAAGTTTAAAATTTACATCACTCAATAAAACTCTATTAAACACTGACTTGCCAGTTTTTATCATGAAAACAATATACAGTATACTCCGAGTAATCCTAAATACACTGGGACTTGGATTAGCGAGAGTGTCAGAGTATTCAGAGTTACAACATTTTTCACCATGTGCCACGTGTTACTATTTATAGCTCAGTGACCCACATTCTACAGACGGTACCTTTCTAATAATCAGACAATAATAAAAGACAATTCAGTTGTATGAGTTACTATTATTTAATTGTTTATATTTTGAGCTACTGTACATATGTTTTTTATTAGAATTAATATTGTTGGCAAACTTTTTCTTAAATTCTTCTTTACGTTTTAAAATGCTGCTTATTGTTGTCTGACGTAAAGAAGAGCGCGGCCCTTTTTCATAATCTCTAATAATTTACTGTTTCATATCCAGAGACACATCAAGAACGGGCACGCTTCGTAGGACGGATATTGCAGTTTTACTGATTTTCCTGATTGGGGTAAATTCATAAAACCTGCACCTTTTTTTCTAGAGAATGGAGATTGACAATCTTCTATTCCTGACTGAGAGGGAAAATGAAGAGTTTCACATCTTACATCTCAGATTTCAATGGGACAGGAAAACAAAATACAGTGATGCATGGTACAAATATTGAGCTCCTAATAGAGATAATAGAGACAGATGATATTCAGCAGATCTAATTCATTGGTAGAATTTATAAGGTTACTTTATGAAAGGAGGCACCAGGCTTTAATAGAAACATTAAGATAATAAAACTGTAAATGATGAAGTGTTTTATCACCAGTTGTACAATTGACATCAATAATGGATACAAGTTACTGCATAAAGAGATTTTATTCTGACTCTTATTCCATGAGTTATATTTCATTATAAAACTAAGTCCCAAAATAATCATTATTTTCTGGTTCCTATTCCATGAGCTTCAAAATTTTTATAATATGCCTTTACACCTGATACCACTTTCCATTATGAAATACTTACTCACTTATGATTGATATACTTCCTCATGTGAAAAGTTCATTAGCTGGTAATATTGTTTCACCAAAATGTTTTTTGGATTTTGGGTTTCATTTTGCGGTGTAGTTAGTACTGGGTTAATTGATAATATCAAATCAATATATTAATTTTAACTACTGTACAGAGTGTCATTTACTGTGAGACTGACATGATCCCTCACCCTCCTGGAATCAAGATTACATCAGATTCAAAACTGATTCAAACTAGCAATTTATCCCATCAATTTTCAGTTTTGGCTAATCAAGAAAAAATAATTCGCACCTCAAAAAAATTCTGCAGCAATTAAAAAAGTTCCAGTTGTAGACCTCAGATAGATCTTGGCAAAGATGATAGTTGTTTGGGGTTATAGAGCTGCCAAATATTTCAAGATTTTTCAGAAAATCTTACAAACAATATACAATATTCACAGACTGTCGTGATAATATATAATTTATAGACGATATGTCACTTCAATTTAAATTGTTTGAGTTTAAACAATGAATGATAAAATACTATAAATTATATAACAATAGAACTATACATGAGAATATTTCATGTTTATCAAAAATTGCCTATATATTTATATCAGTTTTTGACAAGCAAGTAACATTTAAGATGATCTATGTGTCTGTCTTGAAATAATTTCATTCTTTTTCATGTCAATGTCTTTTTGATCAGACTTAAAAAAGTGAACAAGACAAATATTCAGTTTAATTTTTGGGAGCAATGCCTTGATAAATATAGAGTTAAAACATAGATAAACAGACAACTAGGGTTAGGTTTTCGATTACCAAATAGAGATCGATTATCGATAACAGACTACAGATCAATAATAGATTAATAATCGAAATAATTCAATTGAGAAACTCTGTAAATACTTCATTAAAATCATTCTAAATTCTTTAGCTAGGTTTTGTATCATAGAAGTATATTCTTGCTTTGATCAGTTATTATAGTATATTGTGGGTATGTTATGTGTTATAGAAGTATATTCTTGCTTTGATCAGTTATTATAGTTTATTGTGGGTATGTTATGTGTTATAGAAGTATATTCTTGCTTTGATCAGTTATTATAGTTTACTGTGGGTATGTTATGTGTTATAGAAGTATATTCTTGCTTTGATCAGTTATTATAGTTTATTGTGGGTATGTTATGTGTTATAGAAGTATATTCTTGCTTTGATCAGTTATTATAGTATATTGTGGGTATGTTATGTGTTATAGAAGTATATTCTTGCTTTGATCAGTTATTATAGTTTATTGTGGGTATGTTATGTGTTATAGAAGTATATTCTTGCTTTGATCTGTTATTATAGTATATTGTGGGTATGTTATGTGTTATAGAAGTATATTCTTGCTTTGATCAGTTATTATAGTTTATCGTGGGTATGTTATGTGTTATAGAAGTATATTCTTGCTTTGATCAGTTATTATAGTTTATTGTGGGTATGTTATGTGTTATAGAAGTATATTCTTGCTTTGATCAGTTATTATAGTTTATTGTGGGTATGTTATGTGTTATAGAAGTATATTCTTGCTTTGATCAGTTATTATAGTTTATTGTGGGTATGTTATGTGTTATAGAAGTATATTCTTGCTTTGATCAGTTATTATAGTTTATTGTGGGTATGTTATGTGTTATAGAAGTATATTCTTGCTTTGATCTGTTATTATAGTTTATTGTGGGTATGTTATGTGTTATAGAAATATATTCTTGCTTTGATCTGTTATTATAGTATATTGTGGGTATGTTATGTGCTGAAGAGAACCTATGTAGAAGAGCTTACTACGAGTACGATAGAGAAAATGTAACTTTGACAACAAATTGCTTTGAAAGTTGTTTTGAATTGTGGATTATCGTTCGTCGTGGACAAAAAAGGTTAGATTGTGATATTTTTTGTGGAATGTAAAGTGGCCCTCACACCAGTTGTGTATGGTTGCGAATATAAAATATTGTGGTCATAAGTTTAGAACAAAACTCTCATTCAACTGAGCTGTGAATTGCTTTCAGAACTCATGGCCACTTTCATTATACGTAACTATTAACAACAGGTAATCACTATAGTGTGAGGGCACCTTAAATTGAGACACTTTGGAGGATTGTGACGTTTTTTATGTAGTGGGTGATTAGAAAATTGGAGAGAAGCCATTAAAAATGAAAAGAAAAAAAGGGAGTAGCTTACCTTGATTTTTTGAGAGATAACTGAAGTTGTAATGGTGTCGTTAATTCGTTTAAATAATCTCACCACTTCCGAGTCGGGAATTAACCCTGTGTTTTCCGGATCAGCGTTGTTAAAAATATCTAGTAACCAGGTACAATAAGGTTAAAGAAAATGAATTATAAGAATGAATTGAAGCTGTTCCACGATTAAATTAAGTTTTTAACATACATTACCGTGGTAAAATTACACTGGCAACAAAAAGCTTTCAAAAGGACATAAAGTTGATAAAGCAAATAAATAACCAGGTACAACAGGGTTAAAATGAAATGAAATGAATGGAGTTTTACATCCTACTTTTCTGCATACAACAGAGTTAAGGAAATGTGTTTTTAAGAATGAATTGAGATGGTGGACCAGGGTGATGTTATGTAATAAAGTTTGACAGTAAGAACAATAGTGTAAAGTACACATTATAAAATTCTACTTGTGATAAAAAGAGCTTTTTCAGAAACTTCAGAATAGATTGATCAGAAGATATATCATAACAGAAGTTAAAAAACTGTTGTGATTTTCATGCTCTATGATCTTCAGACAACTGACCTATATCATTCAGCCTGCATCACTACTGAAGTTGGACAAGTAGAACTTATTCTCATGTTTACACTCCCAGACGAATTCGGAACGTTTGTTTAAAGAAATGTTTTTGGGGGCATTAATGATAGATAGTGAAGAATGCAAAATGAAAGTTGGAAATCACAATGGTAAAATGTGTGATAATGCCCAAGGACTTTTTGAAAAATTTGGGATGTTCCAGACATCTGATTAACTAATCACTGCAATTAATTTTAGATTTAGAATTTATCACCAATCAGATTTCTGCACTTTGAAAATCCAGGATACCATTTTTTTCTTATAAATCTTCGCTCGGAATTACTTTCATCATTTTGTTTTCGAGTCATCTGATTGGTTAATCACAACAATTGAGATCAGAATGTGTTGTAGTTATCAATCAGAAAAAGGCTGAATTTCTGAAAAATTCAAAATAAGATGTATTTTTTGAATAATTTGATTGGTTAATGACTAATATTGAGATCAGATTATCTTGTATTCATCAATCAGAAAAAGTCACCAGTAAAATTTTTAAAAACGTAACCTAGTGTTTTTGTGTGTTTCTGTTATCTGAATTCATCTGAATCTCTACACAATTGATGGAATTGGATTTATTTTTGTATCAAGCATAAAATACTTGGACCATTTTCTCAAAAACTTAAGTTAAGATGACTTTAGAGTTCAAATCATCTGATTGGTCAATATTTCTAATTTAAATTTAGTTTTATTATCCAATCACATTTCCTTAAACATTTATTTCAATCTGTTAAGTTTTGAGAAACTAATCCCATGAAGCCAATGAAATGAAATGGTGTTTTTGGGTAGAAATGTATTGGACAATGTTTTCTGAATTTTTACATGCAAATCAAATATATTGAGCCCAAGATTAAATGAGATAAATTAAATAAAATAAAACTCAATATTGGGAAATTTGGACAAAAACCCAAGAAAGTAATATTTGAGATTTCTCAGATGAAATGTAACAATTCAAGCGAAAAGAAAAACGCCATGATAATTTTTTTGAATCTCAAATTGAATATGTTGAAAGTAAAATTAATCTATTGTAAAATAACACTCAGTGAAGTGAAAGAAGATGTCAAATTATTGTCCATGATAAATTGGTTTTTTACAGTAACTAGAGTGATATCACTTTTAAATTAACTCCCTTGATTAAAGGGATTGTAAAAAGATTTCCTATTTTTTTTTATGTGTGTTAGGGACACTGATAGCATCAATCAGACGTCTGTTGTTCCTAAATTCCACTAAAACTAATACCCCTTTCAAACTGCACAACTGAATTATTGAATTCGGTTATAACCGAATAGAAAAATCCGATTCAGTTCGATTCGATTCGGTTCGGGTTGCTTTTGCACTGCAATCCTATCTGGATAGCCGCTTTCGCACTGCCGATAACTTTTTATTTTTAGTAACACATCATGTCACGTGACAAAACATTAAAAACAAATATGGACGCTGGCAATTATAATTGGAGCATGCTCGCTGTCTGGGGCGATACTAAAATTCAAGATGAATTAGATAGCATGAAGAGAAATAAACATGTTTTTTCAACTATTGCCAACTCGTTCAGATTAATAATGCCAGCTCTCATCCACCATTCTGACCTAGGTTGCACCCACAGTTGACGGGACTGAAATTCCTTGTTTATAAATAAAAAATATGAAAATAAATACAAAAGCATTTTCTGTTTCCTCTTCCGATATATATTCATTCTTTTCCTAGACAATTTGTGTACTTTATTAATCCCGGCAAATATCATTATAACATCCCCGCAAACAGGAGCCATTTTGAAGTGCTTATACACGTGACACCCCACGTGATAAACTTATCCGGGTAACTTCTTGTATAACATTGATTGTTGTTCCATAATGCTGTGTCTATATAACCTATGAAATGTTACCTATATTCTATCTAGAGATGAATTGTATGTTAGAAGTCAAATTTTGTTTTACCAGAGGTTAATCCAGCTTCTGTACTGTATGTTAGGAATCAAGTCAAAGTTTGTTTCACCACAGATTAACCCAACACCAGCGAATGGAATGAAAAATGATTTTATTTAACAGTAAATTTTTTACAATTCTTTAAGTTCAGAATCAATATCATAGAAATTGCCTCTCGATAGTTCGCTAAATGGTGGCCACGATTCTGCCTGGCTATAGATTATCATTATTCGTATATTATAGAGTCAAATTTCTTCAGCTTTTTCCGTGATTTTCTACTTTGAATTGCTCTTTCATTGATTCATTATTTCTATTCATAGATATAAATAGTACTTTTAGAACTGGCACAATTTTATATTATTTTGATGTGAAATTTGGGTTTTGGTAGATAATCTCAAGAATAAAAATACACTTTCAGAACTGGAATAATATTATATAATTCTGATTTGAAATTTGGGTTTTGGCATATAATCTTAAAATATACACGAACTGTTTCGGATATAACTTATCAATAATACAGTTAATCCATCATATTATAACAGAAGCTGTTTGTAATAATAATGAAATGAATAGAGATTAACATCCTGTCTTCTGTAATCTAATTTAGACAATTCTTCTTTTCTTTTTTTTTCAAACTTTCAGAAGAAATTGCAATGAGTGACATGAAACTACAAATTTTCTTTAACATTTTACTTTTTATATCAATAATTTCTCATTTTATAAACATTCAGCCTTTCCTTTTGATATTTTCAAGTTAGTGAATTAAGGCTTCCTTTTTTTTCTTGGCAGTAAGAAACCTCAATCAAATTTTCAGGTTTTTCTTAAGATAAAAACAGTTATCTTTTTAAATTTTCAAAAAAAAAGAAAAAAATGGCTAGAAACTAAAAAATTTTCAAAAATTTACTTTTTATATCAATAATTTCTTTTCTTTTTTTAAATTCAGCCTTTTCTTTTTTTAATTTTTCAAAAGAAAGTGCAATGATATGACTTAAGGCTACTGTTTTTTTTCAACTTGGCGGTAACAAACCTCAATCACAGACTCGAGATCAATTCAACTTTCTCTGGTTTTTTTTAATTCAGCCATCTCTTTACCTACTTTTTAGATGAATTCGCAATGAGTGGCTTGAAGCTAATAATTTTCTAAAACGCTTTCTTTTTATTCATTTTTATTTAATTTTCTTTGAATTTAAATTCAGTCTTTTCTTTTTAAATTTAAAAAGAAATTGCAACGAGTGACTTGAGGCTACAGGTTTATTCTCTCTGTGTCATTAAATCACATGATCATTGATTCTTCCAAAACAACAATCCTCTCCAACATGATTCTACATCTTCTTGACATTTCACTTCTTTATCTTTGTCATCAATTAGAGTGAAATCTGTTCTATTATTATCTCATCTCAAAACTCTCTTGATTTTAAAATAGTTTCTTGAGGAGAAAACTGACATAGTCATCTGTAATCATCTTCACAGTGTCAAGATATTACAAACTACATCTTCACAATGTCAAGCTATTACAAACTTCTTCTTCACAATGTCAAGCTATTACTAACTTCATCTTTACAATATCAAGCTATTACAAACTTCATCTTCACAATGTCAAGCTATTACAAACTTCATCTTCACATTGTCAAGCTATTACAAACTTCATCTTTACAATATCAAGCTATTACAAACTTCATCTTCACCATGTCAGGCTATTACAAACTTCATCTTCACAATGTCAAGCTATTACTAACTTTATCTTCACAATGTCAAGCTATTACTAACTACATCTTCACAATGTCAAGCTCTTACTAACTTCATCTTTACAATATCAAGCTATTACAAACTTCATCTTCACAATGTCAAGCTATTACAAACTTCATCTTCACAATGTCAAGCTATTACAAACTTCATCTTTACAATATCAAGCTATTACAAACTTCATCTTCACAATGTCAAGCTAACCTCCTCTTCACAATGTCAAGCTATTACAAATTTCATCTTTACAATATCAAGCTATTACAAACTTCATCTTCACAATGTCAAGCTATTACAAACTTCATCTTCACAATGTCAAGCTATTACAAACTTCATCTTTACAATGTCAAGTTATTACAAACTTCATCTTCACAATGTCAAGCTATTACAAACTTCATCTTCACAATGTCAAGCTATTACAAACTTCATCTTTACAATGTCTTATAGCTTGACTGCAATAGCCACCTTTTCTGTTGAGGACTCTGATTGGCTGTATTTCTTAATTCATCATATACAGATAATAAAATAAATTGGAATTTTAAACCTTTCTATTCTAAATTTTATTGAGGTAATGTTACTTTCCTAGGACCTGAATTTTATTGAGGTAATGTTACTTTCCTAGGACCTGAATTTTATTGAGGTAATGTTACTTTCCTAGGACCTGAATTTTATTGAGGTAATGTTACTTTCCTAGGACCTGAATTTTATTGAGGTAATGTTACTTTCCTAGGACCTGAATTTTATTGAGGTAATGTTACTTTCCTAGGACCTGAATTTTATTGAGGTAATGTTACTTTCCTAGGACCTGAATTTTATTGAGGTAATGTTACTTT